AATAAACAATAAATATTTTACTTTCACAAGATTGAGTCGATCTAGTGTGATAATAATTAATTTAATGCTGGAAAAATAGAGAAAGCCGAATATTTCCATATTTTTCCCATCTTTGATTTTATTTAATTATAATTTATGAAGAAAATAATGTGTGAATGAAATATTTAATATACTGCTTATATTTTAATAAACTACAATAATACTTTAGCACATAATTTTTAATATTAATTCAAATAAATATTCAATTTCTTCACAAATTATATTTATATTATTAATCGAGTAAAAATATAAAAAGACTTACTTTTATAAAACAGCCAAGACTACTAATTCCTCGAATGTAAGAATTCTGAAAATAAAGAAAAATACATTTAGTAAAATGTTTAAAAACAGCGAAGATGATATAGAAAATTATTTCAATTAGTTTAACCCGTTGAATTTATATTTTTTGGATATTAAAAATTTCAGACATATTTCAATATGCTATCACACTTTCAGACATATTTTTTTGTATATTTGATGAATTGTGCATACATAGTTTGTAATTACTTTTCATTGCCAAAATAATTTTCTGCATGAGAATAACATTTTTACAATTTAAAAAAATTAATTTATTTTTTTATAAATAAATATTTTAAATGAATGACCTTTACATTTGAGCGTTGTCAGTCTTTTCTCCAAATTTGACATAATCCAAAAATTTAGGAGCAAATTCTCCGATAAAATAGAAATGTTATGGTAACACCATATTAAGGGTCAATCTTCGTATGAATTGGTAATGACAAACTGCCAAAAAGTTATGTATTTCCTACCAAATAGCAGTATTACATATAAAACCTAAGAGGGCTTCCAATATAATCAGGTGTGGTTGACAAAAAGTCACGAATTATCACGTGGGGGGTGGAGTAGTCATCAGAACATTTTCAAAAAAAAAATCAAAAATTTAACCATTTTTTCTCGTAACTAAAAATACACGTGATGTTTGATGGGAGAGGGGGGAGGGTAATTTTGAATTTTGCAACAAAACAAGTGGGAGCGGGAATCCCAAATTCCTTAAAAAATCGATCACGTGATTAATATCAGCACGCTCCTAACATCAGAAATTGATATTTGTCAATTGTGTCTTCTGGAGGTTAGTTTTCGTGTGTGAAACGCTTGATCGAACAGCAAATATATAGCTTTTTGACCCTTCGTTACTACCATCTCATACGAAGATAGACCCGTTAACATAATACCAAGACAATAAAATATGTAGGTACATTTTTTTATTCCTACCTCCAAATTTACTGCGGGCAGCATTTCTTCGCAATTTGCACTGCAATATCACTATCACTTTGATTTACGCGAAATTACTACAAAATAATTAAATAACACTTTAATATTAACTTAATTAACGCGATTCGAACACACACATTTTTATTTACAAAGTTCATTTTTAATTTAACACTGCTGAAAAATACATGTCAAAAATTAGTACATGGGATGGTATGATCAGCATTTGGTTCATCCTAACTAAAAAACGACGATATAAAATCATACGGCTGTTTATTTCGCAGATCCAAAAGTATTCAATTCACAAAATATATAAAAAGGTATAAGCAAATAAATAAAAATGATATTCAAAAAGATTGCTATTTGAGAAGACATTTAAAAATGACATCAACTACTTTAGAAGTCTAATGCAAGTATGAGAATTACTAATTGATTTTATTAGAGATTAGAGAAGATCTTAGAGATTTTGTGAATCCAAATCGAGTATGACCATACCATCAAAGGCAAGATTAGAATTTTGAAGCACTCACCCCCTGCACCTTTTCATCACAAATTATCTGAAATCAAAAAAAATTGTTAAAAATATTTTAAACAATAATATACTGAAGCATGTGTTAGCTAAAATGTACCTCATAATTTGCTGATGAGGGCTAATCAGGATCTCTGGAACCAGCTACTGCCATCATGGACACTGCACTATTCACTTCACATTATCTCTACACAAAACACTAATAATACTGATAACTAACCCTAATTATAACTATGAAATAAAAATGCACTAAAAATCGGAACTAAGATTTACAAACGCACTAAAACACTAACGAACGCGAATAACAGTTTTTAGAACGGCGCGCGTTGGAGAAACATCTGCAAATAAAATGTCATATATTAAAATAAATAAATTAACAAAATGTAATTTTCTAAAATACTAATTATCACTATATTTCATACTGATGAATCCAGATATAACGACAGTAAAAAGACTAGTCAAATTTGGTCGTTTAACCGGACCTAATAACAAATGGTCAGATAATTCAATCATTCTAAATAATACTTTTTTTATAATATGGGCTAAAAATTGTCATCGTTGGAACATACATACATTTATATAAATAAGGTCGTTATATATGGATGAATAAATAATAAGGAAGTAATTGTAAAAATGAATTAATATTTAATATGTACCTAAAGTCTCAATCCTTACGAAAGTTCTTCTGGTTTAGTAGAATTCGCTCTATTCCAAAGGTATTTGAAACAACCTGAAAAATATAAAAAAACAGGAATTAGTAAATAAATAATAATACTGTTTGATTCTCAATTTTTTCAAATATATGTAGTACTCAGTTGTCGTTAACATATATTAGTAGTATTAGTATTACATATATTATTAGTATTAGTAGTACAATATAGTAGTAGTTTTGGAAATTGTAAAATAATTAGTAAATATTTCATAATCGAACTGAAACTCATTATATAAATATTCTCTCTCAAGTTCAAAGATATTAAATGCTGTCAATGAGCATCTATAAAAAAATATTGTATATTGGTATATATTTTACATATTTTTAATTGTCTTATAAAAAAAGATATGTTTCTAAACGTTTTAGTAAGTTTTCCATACGTTTCGGGTTCTTTGATTTTGATTCGACAAAAAATAAATCCAAATTACTCAAATAAAAAAAGAACTAAAAAGTGTATAATGTAATAAGTAAATTGATTCGAATAAAGATATAGTGAAAATACTAAATATGTTGAAATTAATTAAACCTATTTGTAAAATATTGAATATAATAGAAAGTTTGTATATATAAAATAGTATGGAAAAAAAATTCAACGTAGAACTTTTATAGACTAGAATATAGAAATACGAGTATTTCTCGTACTTTTATAGACTAGAATATAGAAATACGAGTATTTCTCTCGTACATGCTAAAAAAGGAAGTATGTAAAAATGTAGGAAGGTTGTAAAAAAATTGCAAGTGGGCTGTAACTGAAGGCACTTTGGATCAAAACCAGTCAAATCAAATAAAAAAAATAGAACTACAAATATAATTCATATTTTTATTTATTTTTTATTAATCAAGATACAACATGAGAGAACCAATAAGATTTGATTTAGATTCGGATCAAATTCACATTTGCATGAGAGAATTACCAAGATTTTATTTAGATTCGGATCAAATTTTGATTATATAGGTTTCAATCTCGTGAAAATAGAAGAGATTTGACATAGAAATAGATAACAGTCATAGTTACAATATTACGAAAGGAAGATGTTCAAAGAAGAGAAGAAATTGACAGAC